CGGCAGCAGCTGCAGCGGTATTATTACTGGCCCGAAATGTTGACCGACGTACAACGACACGTGGCATCGTGTCCCACTTGTCAGCTCATGAAATCATCACGACAGCGGCCGGCGGGACAGTTGCAGCCGATACCACCCCCAGAGCGTGCTTCGCAGCAGGTGACGATGGACTTCGTCACGGGGTTACCAGCCGGGGCGAGTGGGAACGACGCGATCCTGGTCGTCGTCGATCGACTGACGAAAATGGCACATTTCGCAGCCTGCAAAAAATCAATCACAGCCGAAGAAACAGCACGCCTCTTCATCTCCACCGTCGTTCGACTGCACGGGATACCAGCCGTGATCATCAGCGACCGCGACACGAAATTCACCAGCAACTTCTGGCGGAACATGTGGCAGCAGTTCGGCAAGCGACTACAGTTCAGTTCATCATACCACCCCGAAACCGACGGACAGACAGAACGGACAAATCAGACCATGGAACAGCTCATCAGGGCCACGTGTGACGACCCGACCACGTGGGAACAGCAACTGCCACTAATCGAATTCGCGTACAACAACTCGCCATCCGCCACGACCCAACAGTCACCATTTTACCTAAACTACGGACAAGACCCGACAGTACCCATGACCCCGAATCCCGACAACCCAGTACCACGAGCACAACAGTTCGCCGAAATATTACAAGCAGCACGGACCCGGGCAGTAGACGCAATAAAAAAATCGAACATCATCGCTAAACGCAACGCCGACCGCCACCGCAGACCTGTCACTTACCAGCCCGACGACTTAGTTTTACTTGACACTCAGAACCTCCGACTGCCCATCACCCCGAAACTCCGCCCCCGATACTGCGGGCCATTTCGCATAAGCCACATGCTTACACCCGTCACCGCCCACCTCCTCCTCCCTGCTGACTGGTACGTCAGCCCCTCATTCCACGTCAGCCTACTTCGCCCTTACGTCCCGTCCACGAGCCAACTGCCACGCAATCGCCCAGCCAGCATGACAAGACCACCAACTGAACCAATCATCACCCCCGAGAAAATCCTGAGTCACAGAGTTCGCGACCCTCGAGGAGCCCGAAGGATCGAGTTCTTACTCCGCTGGAAGGACCGTACACCCACCGAAGACAATTGGGTTCCCTTGGACAGAATCGAAAACCACCCCGTCCTCACCGAGTATCTGCGCAGCCGAAATTTCAGGGATGTACACGCACTCTCGTAAGGAGGACCTCCTTAGGGGGGGGGTAGTGTAAGGAAAATTCCTTTTCCTTACTTCGCATCCCTGCTCAACGCGTACATCACTGTAGCACCACAGTCAGCACCGTTACCACTCGCAACCCTCGCATCGACAATCTGCCCGCCACCTTCGCACATCGCACCCCGACCTCACGGCTCGGCGGGTAACCCGCGCTCCGGGCCTCCGCTTCGACACTTTTTCCCAACCTCAGTCCCAGGCCCGTCGCGCGACAACCACAGTCCATTACCGTTACCACTGTAGTTTCGCTATATATTCTTCGCTCATGCCTTCGCTCATTGTACTCTTGCTTCGATAGTGCAATTCTCGTTCGTTCACTCGATTGCACTCGTAACACCGCACATCGATCCTGACAGACGATCTATCGTCTACTTTCGCCGCGTCCTAAGGACGCGGCACCTCAAGCAATTTTGCACGATCGATCGTAGGATCGTTGATTCAACCGTACTGAAATTCTTCTGAAAGCCTTTAAAGCTTTTGAAACCATTTAAAACTCCTAAAACATTCGATCCTGCGCATGTTCGATTGCAGGGTCGGTGCTGGAGGTGCCGCGTCCTAAGTTTCAGCTGACGTCTTCGAGTTCCAACCCAAGAGCAGTCACTTTTCGTCGTACACCATGGCTCTGTTCTGTAGGCCCTGGCGGAGGGGGCGCGAGGGGAAATAGGTAGCTTCCCCCCACTGAGTTTTTTGAGTTCGGAAGGCGGTCAGCCCGCAAAACGTTGCCGAGCCAGCCATTTACCCTCCGAACCTGTTCGAGGGGAAATGGCTACATAACAGCCATTTACCCCCGTGGGTTTTGTTGGTGCAACCCTACGGTTTGCACTCGGCTTGTTGTCCGTGTGCGTGAATGTGTGTGTGTATGGAATGGTATGAGGGCATGGGATAATATATATTTCATGCTTATAATTGTGTGTGAATGTTGAGTCATGATGTCGAGTGTGTGTGTCGAGTCAATAGCGAGTTATCGCTAGACGCGTGTTACGCGGTCGTTTGTGTCTCGCGCGCGGTTTCTATTTTGTCGTGCGCGGTTTCTATTTTGTCCTGTGTCGAACGTTCGGCGTGTCGCAGGTGTGTGCAGCAGACCCATCAAGAACTCAAGGATGAGTTTGTGATGAAGAGCCCGAGCCTTGGTGTCAAGCCTCAAGTGATTTCGAAGCTCGCCAAAAGGGTACACCTCAAGATATTGAAGATAGTTACATTACTTTGTGTAGTGTAACATTTCACTTGGTGTAGGCCCTAGTGAAGGGTAGTTTCGAGACCCTTCGTGGTTGGGGACAGTGTGGCACTGTTCCACATCACTGTACCTCGGCTCTTGGGGTTTGTAGGAGCTGGGAGTCATTCCCAACTCGTAACTCTTCCTATCTTGTGTTCTAAGACTATAGTGGCTCCCATAGTACCGTTCGTTCAAACCGACGCTGTGTCATCAATTCTTTATCAAATCGTGCAATCTAAATTGCTAATTGTAGACGACATGAAGACGCTCCAGATCCAATTTGAATCAAGTCATTTGCAGCTGTGAGCAGAACGCTATCAACGTTTGAAGCCGCTGTGCAGAAATCCGTCTGTGCTCTCTATCTTTCGTTTTAGGCACATTCAAGCCTATTGTGACTATAACAGGTTTTGGCCCATACGAAACTACCTATTTCCCCTCCCCACCTTCCTCCTCTGGCAAAATTCACGCCATTCGCCCCGCCCTTCGAAACCCGCTTTTTCAGGGCGGGGCGAGAGACATGGGAGGGAGGTACGGGGGGTGGGGACACCCGCCTTCTACCCTCGATGGACATTCCCTCAGGCTGCTCGTAACCCACTCAGAAAGGCACAACCCGATCAACGAAAAAAACCCCCTCTCAACCATCTTGCCGAGATTGAAAACCCATGCTGCTGCTTGGTAAGAGTTGGTCGTTGCTGCGGCTGTTTGATACGTGTTGGGAAAGTTGGGAGTTGAGTTTGCAGCCCGTTTTTCTAGCGCCGAACCCCCACTTGCAAATGTTTACCCGGCTATTTAGGGTGAGGCCCGTCGTTGTACCCCTGCCTATAGGGTGCGAGTAAATTCGCCATTTACCGTCGGCAGGTTCCGCCCTGGCGGGCGAAGTTTTGCGCTTTCGTTTGTAGCGGGGTGGAGGTGATCTCGGTTGGGAAACTGCGTAGGAACCCCGCTCATTTGCTTTCGCCCCCCCTCCTCCCCCCTCGGGCAAATGCGAGCCCATGTATGGGTCCGTGTGTGTGGTGTGGAGGGACATCAACCAAGACACCCGAGCCAAGGTCCCTTCGTCATGTCGGCACGACGGGACAAACCGGGGAGCGGGGACCAGCCTCCTCTCTCCATTCCGCGTCATGGTTGAGAAAGCACGAATCGGTGATGTGGACAATCGTTCTGTCCAGGGTGATGAGGTTTCCTCACGGCTTCATCGAGAATCTATCCAGGGTGTCGCTGAACGGTGCGGGACTGTCGCCAACAAGATGCTGCCCGCTTGTACCTCCCAACGAAATCTGTGGCGAAGAACGTGACAATATCGACTCGCTGACGAGTCGCAAGCAACCTTTGTTGACCATTCTCGCAACGCTATCGACCTGCTTCTTCTTACCCTGCTGTACATTGTTTTCAAATGGATTTCTAGGTCTAGTGAATAAGGGTTCCTTGGCGACCATAACGAAGAAATGCTGGAATGCGCTTGCGCTGATCCATCTCGTGTTCTGAAATCCCCAACATACGTTTTAGTAATGGCTGGCTGCGTCCTGGCAACCTGACCGAAACAGAAGTCCACAACAATGTCCGAATCCTAGACCCGAACAAATTTCTCCACGGCCTTCGTCGTGTCTCACGAGTCGCGACTCGCAAGTCCCCACAGAAATTCGGCTGCTGCTGCTTCATCACCGCACCAGTGACGCCGCCACCAAACGGTGCGGTTCGCGGACCTAGAACCCACCCAACGCAACCCAAACAAACCAAAACCAGCCAAACCCAAACCAACCCACCACACCCACCATGACCATCGCTTGAGGTAAGTAACCTCACCACACACGTGTACACGTCTCTCAGCCTTCCCCCACCTCAACTAACCATCTCCCTTGCTCCTTTCGCAGCTTGAGACGTCGGGCCGCGTGACAGGTGGTCGTTTTGGACGCACATTGCCGTCGCTGCAGCAAGTATTCTGTATTTGTTGTCTCGCCAGGCCTACGGTAGGCCATTGAAAATTACCACCTTGCGACGAAGCCGCCGACCAACCTGTCTAGTTTGCGCCTGTAGCCCAAGCATCAAAGTAGCAAATCCGCCGTTCGCCTATCATCCCACCCCCGTAGGAGCCGCTAAGTACATAACCAATCGCCCTTCCTCGATTCCATCAAACTGCTATTGCGACACCTGGTCGTACCGACGAATCCATTAAGAGCCATAGTACCTTCCGTCCTGACTTATCTCTCTGACAAAGTCACATTTGCGTAGACCAGTTTGGACTATCTCAGTCCAAAGATTCCACCGCAAACATACTTCAAGTATCATCGCGTTATTGCACATTCGGATTATCTACATACCTCTTTAAACAGTCCAACAGGCAGCGCCCTCTACGCCGTGACGACCAGCGTTCAATCTCCGATCTCGAAACTCTCGAGGCCACAACCAAGTCACCCGAGGCGCTGTGGTCGTCTCAAAGCACTCCGCCACACCGTGTCGCCCGTCATCTCATTCCAACGATGGCCAGCCAACAAGAGCGCCCTCCACCGCGTCATTCCCGGCGAATTGTATGGCAGTTCGTGCTGCACGTGCTATTAATCTCCGGCCTCCTCGGCTTCTCCTCCGCGTTTCGTCTTCCTTTGCGACGTGCGTACTAGAATACCAGCTGGCGTCTCAAACTTTCTCAACCTCAAAGCCCTTCCTCCTCTCCCACCTCTCCCCTTCGTTTCCCTCCTGTTTGGCCTCTAAGCCTCTGTCCTTTCATCTCTGAGGCTCTCTCGCTCCGGCTCGCCCGAATTCTGTTTCGCCCCTCGCTCTTCCTCTCTCGCTCCGGCTTATCCTCTTCGCCCGTCTTCTGTTTCGCCTCTCGCTCTTCCTCTCTCTCTCCTTCGTCTAAGCCCCTCTCCCCGCACTTCAATTCCTTCCGCCTCTCTGCCCTCTCTCCCATCTCTCCGCCTCACCCCTCTCCCGCCTTCCCCTCACCCCTTCACCCCCTCGCCCCGCCAACAGTACCGCGCGCCAAACCTCCCGCCTCGTCCCCTCTCTACATCGTCCGCCTCCGATCCGCCCCCGTAGCCGCGCAAACTCTCGGCATCGACGGCATTTCCTTCTACGGCTCTTCTCCCGACGTCGCCCAAACCGCGGAAGCCGCCACTTCCGTCGGCGCAGCCATGGCGGCACAGTTAACGGGGGCGGCGGCGGCGGCGGGGTCGCTTGGCGGCCGGTTGCGGCGGCCGCGGCGGTTCGACGCGCAATCGAATGTAGTGCGGATGCTGGTGCGGTGGCTCGGGCAACAGCAGGAGCAGGTTGCTCGTGACGTCAGCTTGCCTGCTTCCGCCGTAGCGCACAGGTGAGTGTGGCGTGTTACGTTGCGCAATTCTCGAGAATGATCCAAAAGTCGTCTGCTCGAACGCTCGCCTTTCAAAAGTCGTCTGCGCAAACGCACGCACACCAAATAAGCTGTTCTCCTCTCCTCGCTACGCCCCTCCTTTCCTTTCTCCCCCCTTTCCCCCGCCCCCGTGACAACGGTTGTCCCTACCAGCTACCGTTACGTTACCAACGGGTTCGCCGCGACGCTCACTGCGGGCCAGATCCGCCGGCTGCGCAACCATCCGTCAGTTCTGTCGGTCCGTCCGAGCCAGCGCGTGTACAAGGCGTCCACCGACACGCCCACGTTCCTGCGCCTGCCCGGCTCGCTGTGGGCGGAGGCGGGCGGGCAGAGAAGCGCGGGGGAGGGAGTGGTGGTGGGGGTCGTGGATACCGGCATCTGGCCCGACCATCCCTCGTTCGCTGACGATGTAAGCGCGATTACACCTGATTACCCATTCCAGCGATTACAACACCGCCGTGTACCGCATTCCACCCTACTGCCATCGCGTCCTCCGCCTGCTCTTCCGGCCCTGCATTTGACTCCGAGTCCTCCTCATCCCTCATTTTCCCCACTCCCGTGTTGTCTTTCACCATTCTCCCCTTCCCCACCTGTCCCATTCTTCCCCCCGTCCCTTCTTTTCCGCAGGGCTCGTACGCTGCTCCGCCTGCCACGTGGCGCGGCACCTGCCAGACCTCCAAGGACTTCCCCCGCTGCAACCGCAAGCTCATCGGCGCGCGCTACTTCGTCTCCGGCTTCCGCCAAGCCTACGGGCGCGAGAGCCTCTCCGCTGACTGGCTCTCCGCGCGCGACGCCGACGGCCACGGCACGTGGTGCGCCAGCGCCGCCGCCGGGAACGCCAACGTGAGCGTCGCGCTCGCGCGCGGGCAGACCGCGGGGCTCGCGAACGGAATGGCTCCACGCGCGCGCGTCGCGATGTACAAAGTGTTCTGGTCGAATTACAATTCCGGCGGTGTGACTGCCACGTGGGCGGACATCGAGGCCGCCGTGAATCGCGCCGTGGCGGACGGCGTGGATGTGCTCAGCCTGTCGCTGGGCGGCCTAGATCCCTCCGCGGATTACTTCGACGACTTGCCCTATTTCTATGCCAACGCGGTAAACAACGGCTCTCGGCTCTCGGCTCTAGTACCATCCGATCTCCTGTCTGTCTCCTGAGAAGATTTAGCTCCTTTCTTTTCTTTCTCCCTTGTGTTTTAACCTTGCCTTTCCTGGCTCCCCAGTCTTTTGTGGACGAAGCGATGCCACAGTACCACAACATCCTCTCCCTCGCCTCCCTCTACCACCCATCCCCACCACCACTCACTCCCCTCTCTCCTCCTTCGCCCCTCGTCGCCTCTTCCTCTCCTCCCCGCCTCCCAGGCGGGTACAGTGGTGGTGTATGCAGCGGGCAACGAGGGGCCACCGCCGTACAGCTCATCCATGTATCGCACCATCTCCAACTTCTCGCCCTTCTACCTCACCGTTGGCGCCTCCACCATCTCCCGCCGCTACCTCACCAACCTCACTCTCGCCGATGGGACAGTCCTTACCCTAGAAGGGCTGGGAGGCGGGAGCGTGAACACCCAGAACGTGGGGATCGTGGATTCTGTCCTCGCTAAGAGCTCCTCCGTTACAAACTTCAAGGCGGTGTACTGCTACGGCTCGTCGCTCGACTCTGCTAAAGTCTCGGGGCGGATCCTGGTTTGTCAGTATGGCGGCGGGGCGACTCTTGAAACGAAAATCAGAGAAGCAGTAGCACGGGGTGCTAGAGCACTGCTGGTCACGAACGTGCCTGAAAGTGCAAGATACTACCTGCCCTATGATTCCCGCCTGCCCATGATGTATGTCGACGCTGCTGCAGCCGCCACTATCCGAACATTCATCAGGTCCCAGACCACCCCGACAGCCAGCCTTGCCGCCTCTTACGTAACAGATCCCGCCGCTGCTGTAGCTCCGGTTACTGCATCGTTCTCCTCTACAGGGCCAGTTGCCAATCCCGACGTTGCCGTCGGCGCGACCTACCCGACCAATGACGTCCTAAAGCCGGATGTGATTGCTCCCGGCGTGTCGCTCTGGGGGGCGTGGCGCGACTCGTCGCTCGCCACAAAAACAACTGCACGCTTCAACATGATTTCTGGAACATCCATGGCTACGCCGCACATTGCCGGGATTGCTGCGCTGCTCATCCAACGGAATCCCTCGTGGACTGCGCCGCAGGTCATGTCTGCATTGATGACCACCGCCAGCACGACCAACAACCTCGGGATTCCCATCAGCACTTCTTCTGGAGCCCCTGCCTCTCCCTTTGACATGGGTCAGGGGCATGTGGACCCCGAGAGGCTTCTCGACCCAGGGCTGACCTACCCTGCCGCTCCTGCCCATTACTTGAATTTTCTCGCGGGGCAGAATATGACGAGGGCACGGCTACTTGTATCGAGAAATACGTCCCTGAATGCTATCCCTGCTTACAACCTCAACCGGCCACAGATCTCGGTTTCGCGGCTGCGAGGCGTTGTGAATGTGACGCGGTGGGTGGTGAACACGGCCACCGTTGTCTCAAATTACACTGGAGAGGTGGTGCCTCCTTTTGGCGCGAGTGTGACTCTTTACCCACCCTCGTTTACGATAGAGCCTGGAAAGACTCAGGTGTTCACAGTTGAGTTAAAGGCCACGGGTGTGTCCTCCGGCTTCTCGTTTGGTAGTTTGACGTGGAAGGATGAGCTCGGGCATTCCGTGCGATCTGTGATTGCTGTGCAACAGGCCCCTAGATTCGTTTTGAGGTAGTCTGACGCCTCAGAGTACACCCCTCTTCCTAGTCTGGCTGTCAGAGTTACCTATTTTTTATAGTCTGAAAATTCAGACAACACTACGTTTTTTACGCTGAACGTTCAGAGTTAAACACAATTTCTGTTTTGTCTTAAACTGAAACATAGAATAACGAGATTTACAGCTCTGACAAGGCGAATCTCTACTCTGACAAGGCGAATCTCTACCCTGACAAGGCAAATCTCTGCCTAGGCAGGGCGAATCTTCGCCCTGACAGTTAGAATCTTCACCCTGACAGGGCGAATTTTCGCACTTCGCTCTGTACAGGGCGAATCTCTTCGCTCTGTACAAGGCGAATCTTCGCACTTCACCCTAGGCAGGGCGAATCTCTTCCTTGACAGGGCGGATTTTTGCCCTTACAGGTTGACTCTTTGGTGTGATAGAGGGCAAAAGTGGTGTGACAGGGCAAGCGTGTGCCCGAAGGGCCCATCTGACGCATCAGGGGGGTTCAAAACCTAGCGAGGACCCTGCTCGGGAGTTTGCGGTGCCGCGCTCGGGAAATTTTGGTTTCCCGCCCGTGATTGACGGTGAGTGCTACACGCCACCAGGCTGGCGGGAAACCGCTGTATTACGGGTTTCAGGGTGCACCCCCGATACAAGTATGAGGCTCAGCCTACACTAATAAAATTAGGCTGAAATTTCAGACAGCTCATAAAGCAAAACTCTGAAAAATCAGACAAGGTACATAAAGATATTATTAGACTTCAGACCAGGCCCCACGTTATCAGGGAAAAACATCCTGATTACCCTGAATTCAGGATGCAGTTTTGAATTTACCCTGTCATTTCAGAATAGTGTAAATTTTTACCCTGAGGTCTCAGGATGTTGTTATATGAAATGCCCTGAACATTCAGAATGGCTGTAGTGTTCTTCCTTGTAGCGTCAGGATGAATGCAGAGGCCTGCCCTGACGCGTTTTTTGTTTGGGGGGGGGGGGAGTCCCGTACCTGGGGAAATTTTCCGTGGGGATTTTTGTCTCCGTGCGCAAAACGAGCTATAAACATTTATTCATCCATCAAACCATCCAGAAGTGGCCTAGTCATTAGAAAAATACTTTCGATAGTTAAGGTCCTGGGATCGAACCCACCCTGTTCTTCAACTTTAACTCTTGTCAACCAACCAATCTGAACCCTGAACACAGGGTTTTTTGCCCTGACAGGTCAGGATTGATTTCTGAAAAAGCCCTGAACATACAGGAAGGCTTCGAAAATTTTCCCTGACAAATCAGGGCATTTTTTACGATTCCGGAAAGGTGCCCTGAGGCCTCAGGGTGCCCCAAATCCTAGCACGGGCCCTGCTTCGGACTAGGTACAAAAAAAAAGTCTGAACGGACTCTGAATCAGACTACAAAGTCTGATATCTAGGGCCCTGCTGTGCAACCCATATCCATGTAGCCTGTTTTGTACAAACGGGGACGTTTTTGTCTCCTTGCCTGGCTACTCCACAATACCGTATGGAAGTCCATTTACGCACCATTTTTTGGGTTGCGTAGCAACCTTATACATTCGTTTTCACTTTTCGGTTGGCTGATGTGAACAGTGAATTTCTTTTATAAATTTTGAAAGAAATCACTGTTCACATAGCTTCCCCAAAAAAAAATGAAAACAAATGTTTCCAATCATTCCATAATCGTCGATAAGTACGGCGAATGGAACAATTGGAGAATCGTTCTAGCACTAAAGATGATACGGCACCCAATGACACACGAACACAAAGGACAACACAAAAAATACTACAGTACCACCGAGAGACACACATACACAAATGACCACAAAAACGATGGTGTACAAGAACCGTCGTACATGTTTTGAAGGGAATACTAAATGCATCAATGCAACAACTGAGACTGATATGGTACGGAAGAGGCGAGCAAAGCTGCCCCACCGACGGTCACAATCCCAGTTGCATACACGAGACACTTAGCACCACACCCCCGAAACAAGCACAGATGTTACGGGTGCAATGAATCGAAGTAGCGAGAATTGCACTAAGGTGTCAACGAGTACAAAGATGTGAGCGAAGGCATGGTCGAACATTTATACGCGAAACATGCAAACGGTAACGCGGTGCGTGCGAGCTAGCTAGTGCTATGCTGGCAGCAAGGCTCGGGCTAGTCCCGAAGCGTAGGCCGACACGGCCGGGCCAGCAGTGCGAGGTTTGGCAAAACAGTGCGCGCGAAGTTGGCGAAGTCCCGTTAGCAGTAACGGGCGAACAACGGCTGTTGCTGTACGCGATGTAGTCGGGCTCCGTAAGGAATGCCGAGAAAATTCCTTACACTACCCCCCCCCTCAAGAAGCCCCCTCCTCCGCTACGCGAGTGCGTGTATATCGCGGAATCCCCGGCTCCTCAGGTACACTTGCAGGGCAGGGTGGTTTTCAATGTTGGCCAGGGGCACCCAGCTATCTTCAGTTGGCGTGCGGTCCTTCCAGCGAACGAGGAATTCAATCCTCCTGATTCCCGTGGGGTGTCGAATCCGATGGCTCAGGATTTTTTCGGGCTCGATGATCGGCTCCGATGCAGGGCGAGTCATGGATGGCGGGCGGTGGCGAGGCAGTTGGCTTGTGGTTGGGATGTATGGGCGAAGCAAGCTGACGTGGAACGAAGGGCTGATGTACCAGTAGGTCGGTAACAGTAGATGCACGGTTACTTGCGTTATCATGTGGCTGATTTGAAATGGGCCACAGAAGTGCGGTCGAAGTTTTGGTACGTCGGGCAGTCGCAGATTATGCGTGTCGAGCAGTACGTAATCCCCTGACTGGTATTGACTGGGCGGCGGTGGCGGTCAGCGTTGCGCTTAGCGATGACGTTTGCTTTTTTAATTGCTTCTGCGGCTCTGGTGCGGGCAGCTTGCAGAATTTCGGCGAATTGCTGTGCACGTGGTGTGGGGTTGTCCGGACTCGGCGTCATGGGCACTGTAGGATTTTGCCCGTAGTTCAGGTAGAAGGGGGACTGCAGCGTCGTCGCTGACGTGGCGTTGTTGTACGCGAACTCGATCAGCGGCAGCTGCTGTTCCCAAGTCGTGGGGTCGTCGCACGTGGCACGAATCAACTGCTCCATCGTCTGATTCGTCCGCTCCGTTTGACCGTCGGTCTCGGGGTGGTACGACGAACTGAACTGTAGCCTGGTCCCGAACTGCTCCCAGAGGTTCTTCCAGAAGTTGCTGGTGAACTTCGTGTCCCTGTCGCTGATAAACGCTGCTGGTATCCCGTGCAGGCGAACAACGGCTGCGATGAACAGACGAGCGGTCTCCTCGGCTGAGATCGACTTTTTGCACGCAGCGAAGTGTGCCATCTTCGTCAACCTGTCAACCACGACCATCACCGCGTCGTTACCCCCAGGGTTCGAAGGTAACCCTGTCACGAAGTCCATGGTAACCTGCTGCCAGGCGCGCTCGGGCGGTGGTATCGGCTGCAATTGACCCGCCTTCCTTTTCCTCGAGCTCTTCATCACCTGACACGTGGGGCACGAGCCCACGTGCTGCTGCACGTCGGTCAACAGCTCCGGCCAGTAGTAATACCGCTGCAGTTGCTGTCGCGTTTTTTCTACCCCAAAATGTCCCGAGGTAATTCCGTCATGTGCCTCCTGCAGTAGCAGCTCCCTCTGCAGTGAGTACGCGGGTACCCAGATGCGGTTGGTGCCTGTTTTTACGTAATAAACTCCTTTAGCTTCTGCCAGTTGCTGTGAATTTCCGGTCGTGAAAAACGGGTCGGTGCGATATCCGTGGGTGAATAGGCCTGTTAAAAGCGGGTTGGTTTGGGCGAGCAGGATGGCGTGGAGTTGGGCAGTAGGGCGAGTGAGTGCGTCGGCGATGTTGGAGGCGCCTTTCTTGTACGTAACTGTGTAGTGGAAGTTGGACTCGAGGTAGTCCAACCAGCGAATCTGTCGCGGATTGAGATTTGGTTGGGGGCTTAGGTACAGTAGTGATCGGTGGTCTGTCCGTACTGTCACGTCGGCGCCAGTCAGGTAACACCGCCAAACCTTGAACGCGTGCACGATCGCCAACATTTCGCGGTCGTGTATCGGGTAGTTGCGTTCGGGCGGGTGCAGCTTGCGGGACTCGTACGCGATTGGCTAGAGGCCGTTCCCGAAATCCTGCAACAGTAATGCTCCCACAGCGATGTCGCTTGCGTCAGTGACGAGCTCGAACGGACGGTGTGGATCTTCGATGTGAAGCACGGGCGGTGAGCACAAAATGTTTTTGAGGGCCGAGAAGGCAGCTTGCTCTTTCTCCCCCCACGTGTACTCAACCCCCTTCCTTAGCAGGTCTGTCAGCGGGGCAGTCAGCTTCGCCATGTCGGGGACGAACCGGCGCACGTAGTTGACGAACCCCAAAAAACTCTGCAACTCGGTCAAAGTTGGTCGGCGCGTGCCATGCTTGAATCGTGACAATTTTCTTTGGGTCTATTTCCACTCCTGCAGCTAAAATAACGTGTCCCAAAAATTCCAGGCGGTCCTGTAAAAACTCACACTTAGACGCTTTTGTCAATAGGCGGTTCTCACTCAGTATTTTAAAAACTGCTTCGATGTCCTGTAAGTGCTGTGCTCTGTCAGGGCTGTAAATCAGTATGTCGTCCATGTCAGAATATTATAGCTCATGCATATTGTGTAGGCTATAGTGGGGTAGCCCATAAGGGGTACAACCCAATTAGGGTTAGTACTTGTACCCAATTCATTCATAGTTCATTCATTCCTTCTTTCTTATCATGGTATCGAGCAGGTTCCCTCGTGGGAACTGTTCCTAGGGCCCACCATTTTTTTTCCTGCCCGGAGCGCACTCAGCCCCTGCCCGAGTCGCGCTCCCCTCTCTCGCGCCGCCCTAGCGGCCCCTTCGCGCCGCCCTCGCGGTCCCTTCGAGCCGCCCTCGCGGCTCTGTCGCCCTACCCTAGCGACCCCGCGGCCCCACCCTCGCGGCGCCGGCCGCCTCCCTTCGCGGCCCCGATCCGCCGCCCTCGCGGCCCC